ATTCATGGAAATACACAACCTCCTAAGGTTGAATCAGGAAGAAGTTGAAACCCCAAACAGAGTGAATATCAAGTTCTAAAACTGAATCAGTAATAAAAACCTACTAACAAAAAAAAAAAGCCCCAAGCCAAATGGATTCATAGTCAAATTCTACCAAATGTACAAATGAGAGCTGGTACCAATTCTACTGAAATTATTTCAAAAAACCGAGGAGGAAGGACTCCATCTTAACTTGTTCTAGAAAGCCAGCATCACCCACATACCAAAACCTCACAAAGACAAAACAAAAAAGAAAACTACAGGTTAATTTCCCTGATGAACACAGATGCAAAAATCCTCAGCAAAATATTAGCAGACCAAATCCTGCAGCACATCAAAAAGTTAATTTGCCATGATTAAATAGCCTTTATTCCTGGGATGCAAGGATGGTTCAACATATGCAAATCAATAAATGTGATTCATCATATAAATTGAATTAAAAACAAAAACCATAAGATCATCTCAAGACATATAGAAAGAGCATTCAATAAAATCCAACATCCCTGTATGAGAAAAACTCTCAAAAACAAAACAACAACAACAACAAAAACCCAGCAACTAGGCATCAAAGGAACATACCTCAAATAAATAAGAGTCATCTATGATAAACACACAGCCAGCATCATACCAAATGGGCAAAAGCTGGAAGCATTCCCCTTAAGAACAGGAATAGGGCAAGGATGCCCACTTTTATCACTTCTATTCAACACAGTACTGAAGTCTCTGCCAGAGCAATCAAGAAAGAGAAAGAAATAAAAAAAGAAGTCAAATTGTCACTCTTAGTTAACAATATGATTCTTTGTATATATGTGTGTGTGTGAGAGAGAAAGATAAGGTCCCACTCTGCCACTAGGCTGGAGTACAGTGGGAGCTATCATAGCTCCTTGTAACCTGAAATACCTGGGCTCAAGCCATCCTCATGCCTCAGCCTCCCAAGCAGCTGGGACTATAGACATGCATCACTACCACAACTGGCTATTAATTTTTTTGTTTTGTTTTGTTTTTGGTAGAGAAAGGGTTTCATATGTTGTCCAGGCTCATCTCAGACTCCTGGGCACAAGCAATCCTCTAGCCTTGGCCTCCCAAAACATTGGTATTGCAGGTGTGAGCCACCACACCCAGTCCAACAATATGATTCTATAGCTAGAAAACCCTAAAGACTCTGCCAAAAGGCTCCTAGGACTAAAATAACTTCAATAAAAATAAATAAAATCATTGTGCAAAATCAGTAGCATTTCTAGACATCGATAATATTCACACTGAGAGCCAAACCAAGAAAGCAATCTTATTTACAAGAGCCACACAAAAAATAAAATAACTAGGAATACATCTAACCAAGGAGGAAAAAGATCTTTACAAGAACTATAAAACACTGCTGAAGCAAATAGTAGGTGACAAAACAAATGTAAAAGCATTCCGTGCTCAAGGAATTAATAGATGAAAGAATCAATATTGTTCAGATGGTCTTACTGCCCAATGTCATCTAAAGATTCAACACTATGCTATTGAACTACCAATGTCATTTTTCATGGAATTAGAAAAAAAAATCCTAAAATTCATATGGAACCAAAGAGCCCAAAGCAATCCTAAACAAAAAGAACAAAGCCAGAGGCATCATATTACTCAGCTCAAAGTGTACTTTAAGGCTACAGTAACAAAACAGCATGATATTCATACAGAAATAGACATGTAGACCAATGGAACAGAATGGAGAAACCAGAAATAGTCTCATACCTATAGCTATTTAATCTTTGACAAAGTCAACAAAAATAAGCAATGTGGAAAGGACTCCCTATTCAATAAATGCTGCTGGAAAAGCTGGCTAACCACATGCAGAAGAATCAAACTGGACTCCTACCTTTCACCATATTTAAGAATTAACTAAAGATGGATTAAAGATTTAAATAGAAGACCTCAAACTATAAGAATTCTAGATGAAAACCTCAGAAATACTATTCTGGACATATGCCCTGGGAAAGAGTTTATGACTAAGTCCTCAAAAGCAATTACATCAAAACCAAAAATTGACAAGTGGGATCTCATTAAACTAAAGAGGTCCTGCACAGCAAAAGAAACTATCGGCAGCATAAACAGACAATCTATAAAATGGAAGAAAATATTACCAAACTATGCACCCAACAAAGGTCTAATATCTGACAAGGATATAATATTTATAAGGAGCTTAATTCAACAAGCAAAAAATAACCCCATTAAAAAGTGGGAAAAAGAAATAAAAGGATACTTCTCAAAAGAAGGCATACAGGTAGCTAACAAACCTGAAAAGTGCTGCACACAGCAAATCAATACCACAGTGAGATACTATCTCACATTAGTCAGCATGACTATTATTAAAAAGTCAAAAACAACAGATGCTGGTCAGACTGCGGAGTAAAGGAACACTTAAGAGCTGTCAGTAGGAATGTAAATTAGTTCATACTTTGTTTGGAGATTTCTCAAAGAACTGACAACACAATTGCCAACTGACCCAGCAATCCCATTACTGGGTATATACCCAAAGGGAAATAAACTGTTCTATCAAAAGTACATAGGCACTCGTATATTCATTGCAATGTACAATAGTAAAGACAGAAAATCAATCTAGGTATCCATCAGTGACCAATTGGATAAAGAAAATGTGGTACATATACACCATAGAACACCATTTAGCCGTTAAAAAGAACAAAATTATGTCCTCCACAGCAACATGAATATAGCTGAAGGCCATTATCTTAGACAAATTAACATGGAAACAGAAAACCAAATACTTCACATTCTCACTAAGAAGTGGGAGCTGAGCACTGGATACACAGGAATAAGAAGATGGGGGGAAAAGGACACCAGGGGATTACTAAATGGGAGAGAAAAAAGGGAAAGGGCTGAAAAACTACCTATTGGGTATGACTCTTACTACCTGGCGACGGGATCATTTGTACTCCAGACCTCAGCATCACGCAATATACTCATGTAACAAACCTGCACATGTATCCCTGAATCTAAAATGAAAGTTGAAATTATTAAAACAAATTTTCATGCTTTCCAGCCTCTGTGAGACATGCCTGTAACTTCAGAAGAAGCATGGAAATAAACCAACTACAAGAAACCTTTATTTATTTTGTGGCACTGGACTTAGAAGATTTACCTGTAAATTGTGGAGATGTATCATTTTTAAGGCAAGTTTCAGGGTTGTTCATAGGTTGTGTAACAAACACTACTTATGTCTCCATCGTGACATGTTTAAATACTGTGCTCCATGTTCTTCAGGCTACGCATCTCTAGACTGGGCTATGCTTGGAAGAGTTGTCTTTTTATTTCATAGGTTTGGGTTGGGTTTGTTTTTAACTACAGAAGATTTGCTTTACTGCTTAAAGCCAAGTCAGGCTAACTCCTTTCCTCTTCTATTTCCCAAATCTTCCAGGTAATGAAAAGCTTTGTTCCACAGAAAAAATATCTGTATTGTATTTAGAGTTCTGCTTCTTTTAGACAGCACTTTTTCTTGGGGCTAATCATCATGAATTACTGACTAGTCTGTCAGAAACCTGCTTCTACCGAAGACTGAAAAGAAAGGGAACCGGGCCACTCATTAGCTTGACTCCGAAGACCTCTTCCATCACAGACGTGAGGGTTCATTGCACTCTCAGGGAATAGCTCTCTCTCATACAGTCCTAAAAAGTAGGTTTTCTCAGATGCCTTTTCTTAAAAGATTCTAGCCTCAGTACCTTATATGAAACATAGGAAGTAGCTGACAGAGAATTAGGTAAGTTCAGGCATATGGAAGCTCTGCTGAAGACAGTTATGCTAGTACAAAGTAAAACCTTGTGGTGGGATGCGTAATCTTAAAAATACAGCCCACTCTATATGGAATTTTGTTATGAAAAGATTCTCATTCTCCACCAATTATCCTTTTCCTTTGGCCCAATTTATTTCCTTAAAGTCACCCAGACTTACAGGCTTTGCAAAAAATGCTATGGGTTTTATAATGAGATGATATATTTTCCACTTACTGAGAAGGCGCTTCTCTTAAGAGAAACACAAGCTCCCACATGGCTCTTGCTTTTTAAGCAAAGCATAGATCTTCAGGCTGTATCATGAAAGAGTCGGTATCATTTGTGCAATGCAAGTACATGTGCTTATGGTTGATGTCTATTATGAAATCGTGATTCAGTGCCATATATGTTCATTTGGTGATTTATGATTACTTTTAGGTAAAAGAACTACCAGAAATGAAAAAAGCCAGTATTCACTGAATTCCTCACAATTACAATGAATAACTGAAGCAATAGAAAAAATAGTTGTGTTTGTTTCAATATACCATTTTAAATAAATTTTGGAAGGGGCTTCTTGGGGATGGTCATTCTGCAGCTGGAATGGTTTTCAGGCTCTCTCTCTCTCTGTTTATCCAACTCTCTGTTCTTTTGTGTTTTCCCTAGTTGCTGGTGATGAGTGCACAGCATCTCAGAGTCATCCTCTGCTAAAGCAGCACATTTATAATTATCTGTAGGTTAATATCAGCACCCGGAATATCTGCAGAAGGGGTTCTTTCTAGTACCATACCACTCCAAGTAATGGAGAGCTTCTTACATAGTAAGACATCTGTATTGTATTTAGACTTCGGCTTCTTTTAGATATCATTTTTTCTTTGGACTGATCAGTACAAATTATCAACGAGTTCCCTAACTGAACAGGTTTTTGGTACCACAAAATACAGCAGATACCACACACTGCAAATGAATGAATCTAAATTTTACAAAGTGGGCAACCTCTTTCCCCACCCAGATTCTCAATTTTAAGTTCTCAGAACATAATTTCTTTTGGTTGTAGCTTATCTTCTGGTTCTCTCCAACCTCTTTCAATTCATGTATTCACATAGTAACACTTATTATTTACTCAGAATGAATCACTGGCCAGTTGCACAGAGAAAGGCAAGAGCCATTAATCAATGCAAACCAAAGTCAGAAGTTTACCTTAGTTCCTTGAAGGGGTCTGCCCTGACATTAGGTGTTTCTATAGATTTAGGGAACACTGTGCCCTCCGCTCCTGTAAACAAAAGAGAAAAGCAAACAGATTGGAGATACTGGAGTCACCGGGAGGCACAATCAGCACACTGACTGAAGCTAAATTCAGCACATCCATAACACAACCCAATATCCACATATTTTTCCACTGGCTTTAGGGCTCTATGATAGGAAAGCATCAAATCACTCATGCAAACAGCCTTTGGAAAAACAAGGAACTTCTTTTAAAAGCATTCTTGCTGAGAACAGAGTGAGGCAATGAGGCAAATTCCATCTCCACTTCAGAAGGGAAAAGATGCCTAGAAATAGTAAGATCTGACTCTTGTCTCTCAGAAACTATTAATAGTCACCCAACTGGAAATGTTTTGAAAAACAGAAACCAAAGCTCTCTTATTGCAATGCATGGCACAAATCACCTAACACATATGACATCTACTCAGTGGGTTAGATGGTAGAACAGTGAAGTATTTGCATAATGACAAGCACAAGTTTTTCAGTAAATAAAGTTATACATTATCAACTTGAAAAGTTAAGCAAAACAGAACACTATGAGAGACCATTTGAAGTTGAGTTTTTCCACTCTGAGTACTAATATTGATCTCAAACCCAATCTAGACAGTTACTTCTTGACTGTGCTATAAGCTTTTGTCTTTACAACTTGTCAGCACCAGCTGAACCTTTGCAGCCATAAAGATAGCAATGATCTGATTTGTCTGCTCCCAAAGTGTTTTCAAATCATTTAAGCCTCAGTTTATCACAGACAGTTGCACTGGATATTAGTTTTTCAATTAAACTTAGCTGAGGCAGTATCCTGTGCTTTGAAGTAAAGGTGTTTCTTTTTATATATTTGGTGTACTTTGATGCTGTAAGTAGGGGAGAATATCTTCCTTCCATGTCTGAATTTCTAGAATCCTCTTACATCGTTATAATGTCTAGAAATGCTCCATTACATTTGACAAAGAACATGCTTTTGAATGGTGTGGCGTTCTGTCAACTAGATCTTAAGCACAGTGTGGGCAGGGACAAGGTCCTATGTGGTATACAGCCAGACTGACTTTAGGTTCCAAACGCTTCTACTGGCCTAATTTCCAACTGGTACCGATGATTCTATGGGAGTACTAAATTATTGCTTTCTCAATGCCAGGCTAAGCTGGTACCCACTGAATGGCAGCCCATTAAAATCTAGAGGGATAGGCTCTGACAGACAGAGGTGGCAAATGATTGACAGGCTTTGGATGCAGGAAGGAAGTAAAGAACAAGATGCTCATGCTCCCTCAGCTAACACCATCCAACCAAAAATTATTTGATTATGTTTTTGCTGGGCAAAATGGGAGGTCCATATGTTCCACATACTGGAGAACAAGACTCATTGGTAAGACTTCCAAGGGGAAGATTTCAAAGCCACTCATTAGCTGAGTGACTTTGAGCATGAAGTTCAACCTCTGTGATACTCAGTTTCCCTCTCTCAAAAAAGAGGGTGTTGATAGTACTCTTATCTCCTAGGGATCTTGGAAGAATGAATGTGATTTCTGGCACAAAGCAATCACTAGTAATATTATAAAATGTTTATGATTCCTATTCATCTTTCTTCTTATCCAGATCTTCTATGACTCTTAAGAGTAATATTTTTATAGGATTTACTATAAACTAGAAACTGTACTGGATATTCCAGTTTTTCATTTGATCACCAGAATAACCCTATGAAGTGGAGACTGTTAGTATCTTTGAGGCTCTGGGAGGTCAGGAAATGTTCCTATGTTCACACAGCTAAGTGGAGGTGGGAGGGATAACTGAGTGAGGGGTGGGAGCGTTGGGATTTGAACTCGAATCCTTCTGTTCTCAAACCTTTGCTCACTATTCTAAACTACCTCCCTCAGTAGATTGTTACGCCTTTACATGATCATCTTTTTATGAGCTATGAGCAAATATCAATGTTTATACCATCAAGTAATGCTTGCTAAATCCTCAATCACCTTTCTTCTTCTCAAAACAATTCACATCTATAATGAGATGAGATATTAATACTCTTCAAAAAGGCCATTTCTTTCCAAGTGCTATCAGGTTTCTGATTTTCACACGATTTTTCACATTCCCAGAAGCTCCAGAGTAGACAATCATCCTTCAGGATTAATTCCCCCATCCCATCCTCTCTCCGTTTTCTCCGATAATAAATTATCCTCGATTTTATTATTTCAAAAAGGTTTCTATTAAAACCATACCTACTGATTCCATCTTTTGACACAATATAATTTACTGGCAATAAATGTTCATAAACAGTTTGAATGAAAAATCCATAAAGCCATTTCAGCTTTATTTTAAGTTACACTTAATGTCTCTCAAAAATGATTTCATCAATGTGTTTCCATTAGCTGGTTCTCTGCCCAATAACTTAATTCCACACAATCAATCAGGAAATTATAAAGCACGTGACAGGCTCTATCTAAAGTGTTTTGAATCACCATAAAGCTCAGCTCAATGGCTCTTTTCCCTACTTGCACAGGTAGGGGATAAACTTGTCAAAAAAAAAAAAAAAAAAAAAAAAATCAAACGCACTGCCATAGTAACAAAAAGCTGACTTCTCCTCTCCAGAAAAGATACTCAAGTCCAGATCTCAGTTTCCTCATACTTTTCCCTCAAAGTGTCCTGGATGTCAAGAGAGCTGAAATCTAGTCCTTTCTCTATGCTTAGGCAAGGCAGACAAAAATCTGTGGTTCTGGATTTCCCCAATTCTTAAATGAGGAATAAGCATCAGGGTTAAACTGTCTACCCCCAAATCTAAAATTTTATGAGGTTTACAATCTAATCTAAGCAGAAGATTGCCTTTAGCCACCTCTTTTTTTCCAATGAGAAGACAAACAATCCTGGAATATCAAAGGAAATTGTGAAACATTTTCTCAGCATTTAAGGGGGGAAAAAAAAGAAACAGACTTCTATCCAATTGAAACTGAATTTAATTGGTAGAAATAATTACCAGAAAATAAACCTTATAATAGATAAAATGGCAGACAGCAGAAATGAAACTCAAACATCAAAACCCTAAAAACATTGTAATTCTGTAAAACTCCAAAAATGGACCTGAGAAAATTACATTTTATAAAAAATAATAACAAATTACCTAAAACTATACAGATGTTAAAATTTGCTGTGGACTGAATACCGAAAAAAAAGTTTAGAGCTGGAAAATGAGACACAGAAAAATTGAATTTGAGAAAAACACTGGACAAAAAAATGACTAGGACAGGAACTATCACCAGCGAAATTTAATAAAGAAAATTTATGATGACTCACATCTTTCTTGTATATGGAGAAGAACTGATCTCAAAGGTAATAATTTCAAGAAATGTTCTTTTAAAAATTAAAAATTACTTAAGTATACTGTTTAAAAAATTAAGAATTTAAACTAGCTTAACAGAGTTTGCTTCGGTAAATTTTTTCCCTGATGAACATTATTAATATTGGTATAATTATGATTAGTGCTTTTGTATTAATGAATATAACCTAAAAATCACCTTTGGGTTTAAACCGCAGGGCCAAAATGTTCAACAGATTCAAAAGGCAGAGTTAAAATATCCTATGAGTAAGGTTTGATGTAAAAAACATAAGTTTTCTAATTCCCAATGCTTGAGAAAATATAACCTAAATGGTAACTTCAATAACAATAATATTTTACTTGACAAGATAAGGATACAGTTTTATATCCACATTAGATTATAAAATGGAGAAAGGAAGTCAATCTAGAGAATGGTGATAAGAAAATGGAAGAAAAATGATTTTGTTTCTGTAACATCCAAATACTGAGAAATCAAGAACCCAAGTTTTGGTTCTAGTTTTACATATTCATTGCATGGCTTTTGACAACTTTCTCTTTAGTATTATTTCTTCATTTGGATGAATTACGTAATCATTACAGTTTCTCCGACACCCACCCACCCCACCATCCCCTGCTATTTTATTATTTTTCAGATATAACTGACTGGATAAACTATGCACCAGGAGAGGAGCACAGTATGTTGGTGAACTCAAAGTTCAATTAACAAATTTCTATCAAGCAGGAGGCTCTAATGGTGAAGCAAAGAGGTAAGCAGCTCACAGTATGGTAGGGTAGAGTATCCTCCACCAGTGTGAGGATACTAAAAACCTCACTTTAAACCTAAATTTAAACCACTAGTGTACACTAATTGGTTTAAATAACTAGTAATTGGCTGGGTACAGTGGCTCACACCTGTAATCCCAGCACTCTGGGAGGCTGAGGCAGGTGGATAACCTGAAATTGGTATCAGCCTAGCCACCATGGTGAAATCCCATCTCTACTAAAAATTAGCCATGCATGGTAGTGTGAGCCTATAATCTCAATGACTCAGGAGGCTGAGGCAGGAGAATTGCTTGAACCTGGGAGGTGTAGGTTGCAGTGAGCTGAGATTGGATCACTGCACTCCAGCCTAGGAAACAGAGCAAGACTCCATCTGGAGAAAAAAAAAAAAAAAAGAAGATGACTGGTGTTGCTAGACCACTCTTAGCAAGAGGTGAGCATTATGTGATAAGACTGAGAGTTTGGCCCAGGGACTGTAGAGCCTCAGACACCACAGTGAAGGTTTTAAGCAGGGAATCTGACTTGATCCACCTGGCATTTTCCAAAAATCACAGTAGCTGCATGTTATGGATTACTTATTTGTGTCTTCCCAAAATTCAGATGTTGAAACGCTAGCCTTCAATGTGATGGTCTTAGCGGGTGGGGTGTTTGGGAAATAACTAGGTTTGGACGAGATCAGGGAAGAGTGCCCACGATGGGAGTGTCCTCAGAGGAGAAAAAGACCAGTACTTTCTCCACCATGTGAGGACACAGTTAGATGATGGATGTCTGCAAGCCAAGATGAGGGACCCCGCTGCAAACCTGATTGTCTCGGCACCCTGATCTCAGACTTCCCAGCCTCCAGAACTGTAAAAAATAAATTTGTTTCTTTCTCCTTTTGAGATGGAGTCTTGCTTTGTCACCCAGACTGGAGTGCAGTGGCACTATCTCTG